CCGTCCACCTGGTTCTCCAGCAGGCCCTCCTGGCAGCACATCTCACCCAGTTACGACCGTGGCTGTCCACGCACGCCTCCCCCTCCAGACTGGGAACGCCTTGACGGATCAGCCAGGCAGGGGGACTGACTGGTCCTGGATTCCCTGGGACTTCCCCACTTCAGCACTGAAAATCTGCATCCCCGTGACCCCGGGTGGCTGGCCCCTATGGTGGGTCTAGCTTCTCTCTGTGTTCCCACAATTGCCCAGCCCAAGGCCCGGCACACAGGGATCTTCCAAACCAAGAAGCTGACACGCTGGTAGCTCCATCAACTCATTTTTCAACCCTTCTACCATCTCAGAAGCCCTGGCGCTTGGAGCCATCTGGTCAACCTTCTCCCTCCAGCTTCTACAGGCATCTGGTCAACCCCTCCCTGCTCCAGCTCCTGAAACCATCTGGTCAACCCCTCCCGGCCCCAGTGGCAGCTGGTGGGACTCAGGGAGAGAGCACACCTGCGGGCCAGGTGGCCCCGCGCAGCTGCCTGGAAGGACACGATGATGTCTGTGACCTTCAAGTCTCGCTCCTCCTCCAGCTGGGCCAGGACCCCAGCGCGGAAGAAGATCTTGCTCTGCCCCACGCGGTAGAGGTTGGGGTCGAGTTCCAGGGCCTGGATCTGTGGGGGTGGGGAAGGGGTGATGAGAAAGCAGCAACCACAGGCAGCAGGCCCAAGTCCCTTCCTCCGTCCCCTGGGCCCTGCCCGGTGTGCACCCACCCTACACTCACCATCTTCTCACAGGCCTGCTTCCCGTCCATGAAGCCCTTGGGGATGGCGTTGGGGGTCAGGATCTCATACCTGGGTGAGTGGGGGGTGGGCAAGGAGTTGTAACAGCCACTGAACACGTGCCCTACCTGGGCACTGGGCTCGGGGTGACAAACATCTCTAACAACCACAACAAGAGCAGTAACAAAATCTTACGCTGGGCCATGAGCCGAGCGCCCCACGTCAAACTACCTGCATCTGTTAAGCATGCAGATACTGAGGTTTGTTTTGAAACAATATAGATTTTGATATGATTAGTGGGATATATATGTCCCAAGGGGTCTCTGGTGCTGGGTTTGGCGGGGTGAAGCCTGTTTCTTCAGATTCACGCAGTTATAGTGGCCTCCACCAGATGGCAGCACACACTAAAAGTGGGACACCAGCTTTCCACTCAACCCCAGAGGCGGAAAATGTAGGTGGGCACTCTATGTCCCACATGTCATGAAAGGGTTAACGTGCGCAGTCTCCCAACCTGGATGTAGCTTCGCTGCCCCACCGGGCCCCAGGGGCCGCTCACCGCTGCCGGAATTCCTGGAAAAGGATTCGGTTGGGGAAGCCCTGCCGACAGATCCGAATGCCCTCCAGGACGCCGTTGCATCGGAGCTGGTCCAACACCAGCCGGGGCTCCAGCTTCCCGGCCTGTGGAGCGGGGCAGGGGCATGCAGACTCTGTGGCGGCCACAGCGGGGTGCCACGCACACAACCACAGCCGTCGGGGGAAGCCACTGGAACGGCCGTTTACGTAGGTCAAAAATGGCTGAAGCCTGGTGACTGCCTACAGCTCAACCTGCTGTTTACTGAGCATCTATTATGTGCCAGGCACGGTTCCAGGTTCTGGGAGACGGCTGTGAGCAAGCCCAGTGGGCGGAACGGACAATAAACGAGGGGAAGAAACCAGCTGCCACCAAGTCTCCTCCGACCAGTGGTGAGCCCACACGCGTCAGGGCAGAAGCGTGCTTCACAGGTCTGCAAAGGCTGGCGTTTCAGAAGGGGAGCGGTCAAGTGGTTCGAACCCACCAGCCACTGCACGGGAGAACCAAGTGGCTGTCTACTTCTGTAAAGAGTTTCAGCCTCAGCAACTCTGTGGGATGGCTGTACTCTGTCTCATAGGGTTGCTATGAGTTGGAATCAACCTCACAGCAGTATTTGTTTGTTTCAACACAAGAGCAGCAGGGAAGCGAAGTGGGTAAGGGCCGAAACCGAGCACAGGGACAGTCAGGGACCGGACTCCCCTGGACAGATGACGGGGGAACAGAGGGATCTAAGCCAAATGAGTGAAGGGATTTTCCCAGCTGGGGACCCTGGGAGGGAAGCAAACCGCTCCCAGTTACAAGGGTGGGTCCAGCAGGTCTGCGGGCCCGCACTCCCTGCCAGGGGCCCACCCCTCGCCTGCGGCGGGACCACTCACCCGCTTCTCGTGGTTGGGAACGATGCAGCGGACAAAGCTGGGGTTCGTGTTGCTGAGGGTGGCCATCAGGCGGCTCAGGGATTCCTTGTAGAGCTGACCCACTGTCCGGAACATTCCGCGGCGGGGGCGGCCACCTGGCGGACCATCCCCAAGGCTGCTCACTTGCTCCAGCCCCACAATGCCCTCAACTGTGTGGGGGGAAGGAGACGTAGAGAGAGAGAGAGAGAGAGAGGTGTCAGGGGTCGGTTCCAGGGGATGGGTTGACCAACCGTCAAGGTCCCTGTCATTTATAGGGCCTGGCACTTTATACCCCCTTCTGCATTTATGGACGTGGTGAAGTCCCAAAGAGTAGGTCATTATGGGAAAATGGAGGATGACCACAACAGATCACACAACACAGGACGACCACATCATCACACAACTGCCAAATGACATCATCACATAGCTGTGAAATGACATCATCACATAACCACCCAATGGCATCATCATATAACTGTGAGATGACATCATCACAAAACCGCCAAATGACATCATCACATAACTGCTAAATGACATCATCACATAACTGTGAAATGACATCATCACATAACCGCAAAATAACATCATCACATAACCACCCAATGGCATCATCACATAACCGTGAGATGACATCATCACATAACCACCAAATGACATCATCACATAACCGCCAAATGACATCACATAACCGCCAAATGACATCATCACATAACTGTCAAATGACATCATCACATAACTGCCAAACCACTCAGAATCATGGTCCAGCTAAGGTGGCTCATAAACTTGACCATCACAGCCACAGTTACTCTCATCTCACACCTCAGTGTCCTACTGCCTGAAGTATGTCACTAATGCACACAG